CACACACACACACTCTCACACACTCACACACACTCTCACACTCACACACACACACGCACTCTCACTGGAAGCTGAATGACAGTGTGTTTTGTGTCGTGCAGGAGCTGTTCAAGCGTGTGGTGCCGTATCACTGTCTGGGAAGCATCTGGTCTCAGAGAGATAAGAAAGGGAAGGAACATCTGGCACCGACCATCAGAGCCACGGTCAGCCAGTTCAACCGTGTCACCAACTGCGTTATTTCCACGTGCCTCAGCGACCGGACGCTCAAGCCCAGCCAGAGAGCCCGGATCCTGGAGCACTGGATCCAAGTAGCCAGAGTCAGTCTGATCTCACACACACACGTCTGATCGCTGGTTTACTGTTGATTTTAAGACCAGTTTCTTTTCTCAGGAGTGTCGGATCTTGAAGAACTTCTCATCTCTGCGTGCGATTCTGTCTGCGCTGCAGTGTAACCCGGTTCACCGGCTCAAGAAAACATGGGACGAAGTGTCACGAGAAAACATTCGCATCTTCCAGGAGCTGTCAGAGATATTCTCTGATGAGAACAACCACTCGCTGAGCCGAGAACTGCTGATAAAGGTACGACATGTGTGAGCGTGTGTGTGTGTGTGTGCATGTGTGTGTGTGTGTGTGAGAGCGAGTGTGTGTGCGTGTGTGTGTGTGTGTGTGTTTGCATGCGTTTGTGTGTGGGAGTGTGTGTGTTTACGTGTGTGTGAGTGTGTGTGTGTGTGTGTGTGAGTGAGTGAGTGTGCGTGTGTGCATGTGTGAGAGTGTGTGTGTGTTTGCATGTGTGTGTTTGCATGTGAGTGTGTGTGAGAGTGTGTGTGTGTGTATGATATTTACTGCTTGTGTCTCTTTGGCAGGAGGGAACGTCCAAATTTGCCACTTTGGAGATCAACCCTAAGCGAGCGCAGAAACGACAGCAGCCGCAGAGAGATCTGGTGAGACATTCAGACTCAGACTGCAGCTGAACGCTCTGATGGACGATGATCCACACCGGCAGCTGCTCTCAGATCATGTAGTACAAACTCATTGAGCTGATTCTGCATCATTACGAGATGAACTCCAGCAGGAGACTCGTATCTATCTATCTCTGTGTGTGTGTGTGTGTATAAGCTGCTCCCCCGTCTGTCGTCTGATGTGGTGTTTTATACTGCTGAACTCTCAGAACGATGGATTTTGTTTCAGACTGTGATGCAGGGGACGATTCCTTACCTGGGAACTTTCCTGACGGATCTGGTCATGATGGACACGGCCATGAAAGACTATCTGGACGTGAGTGTAACAGACACACTCATCACATCAACCATGTGGGAGACTTTCCTCCTTTCTTTCCACTGTGTTTATAATATAAATGATTTTAGGACCAATTTTTTTCTTCCCGCTGAAATTATACTACCCAACTGCTCCCGCAGCAAAAATGTCTGCCCACTACTGTGTGTGTGTGTGTGTGTGTGTGTTCACTGCTGTGTGTGTGTGTGTGTGTGCTGCTGTGTGTGTGTGTGTGTGTGTTCACTGCTGTGTGTGTGCACTTGAATGGGTTAAATGCAGAGCACAAATTCCGAGTATGGGACACCACACTTAGCTACACATTTATTCACTTTCACTTATTGATTTTGGTTACACTTTATTTTAAGGTGTCCTTGTTACAGTGTAATTATACATTTAAGTACTGAGTAATATTAATTAACTACATGTACTTACTATATGGTTAGGGTTTGGTTTAGGGTTACTTGCATGTAATTATGCATAATTAATTGTTACAATAGTAAGTACATGTAACATGCGTAACAAGGACACCTTAAAATAAAGTGTTACCTTGATTTCCTCTTTTTTCTTTAGTTCTTTGATGAACAGCATCACAGCAGCTGGTTATGAGGTTATTTTGGCTGCTGAATATGACGCGGATCAGACACACAAAATATTTTCTCACAACTCTTTACCTTTTCTGACTCACTTCAGCTCTCAAAGTCTCTGTGAGGGAGACCGTGCTGCTGCTTCAGGACAGTTTGGAAAGCCACTGCATTTCAGAGACATGTTCTTAAATCTGACTCCTGAAAATCCTGCTCTAAATATTTTTAATGCGTTAAACAGAAATAATTAATTGCATGCGTTAACGTGCTAATTTTGACAGCACTAGTTTGACTCCATATATATGGATAATAACTGATTCTTTCTTTGCATCTCAGGGAGGCCTGATCAACTTCGAGAAGAGAAGGAAGGTACGTCTGAACAGAAGGAACAGATCCTGACGATGATTCTAACACGCTAACCTCGCGCTGATGCCATGTTCATCTGTCTCTGTCTGTCTCCCTCTGTAGGAGTTTGAGGTCATCGCTCAGATTAAGTTGTTACAGCTGGCGTGTAACAATTATAATTTCCGGCGTGTGGCGGGGTTCAGTGCGTGGCTCTCTGGCGTGGAGAAGCTCTCGGAGGCCGAGAGGTGAGACATCAGCATGGGTTTAGATGTGCAGAATTAAACACACACACACACTCACTCTCTCACACACACACACACACACACACACACACACACACACTCACACTCACACTCACACTCTCACACACACACACACACACACTCACACACACACTCACACACTCACTCACACACACACACACACTCACACACACACTCACATGCAGCGGCTCTGGAAGCTCTCACTCCAAGTCCTTCGATCAGCTGCGTTTCCCGCCGGGTTTGAGCGGCTCGGCAGGCGACGGCGGCGACTCTCTCAGCGTGACGTCCGCCGGCTCCAGCAGCTCTGACGTGGAGGAGGTCAACATCAGCTTCATCTCTGATTCACCGGATGCTCTGGAGAGGAAGGTGAGGAGATCGTCTGACTGCTGTTCAGTTATCAACATCTTGTTTATCCCACAGCGTCTCTCCAGAGGACAGGGCTTATTTCCTTCAGTCGCTCACTGTTGTTTCCATACCTAGATGCCAGCTGTTTGTAGCACATCACATTTGACCCAGACAACAGCTCAATGCATTGCCCTGACAGAAGGGTCTTAAACATTGAGGGTTATTTTTGAAATGAGATGTCAAGCGGTTCCAGGAGAAGGCTTTGAGATGTATGTTAATGCCAGGTGAAAGCAGTACTGAAGATACCGATGGGCGTTTTCACACCTGGCCAGTGTTTGTTTTGGAGACTAGTGTATTTCTCCCATAGTTTGGTTTCTTTAGGCATATGTGAACACAGCCAACATGCTTGGATCCGCTCCAAAACAGACTGGCACTTAGGCAATTCAACCCAATGGACCAACGAAGCAAGCTGTATCATAATTCATAATGTAAATGTGTTTTGTAAAATGCAGCAGTGTCAATTATGTGGCTGAGCATAATGTATAATCCTCAAATGTCGTCTAATTGCTCTTATCCAAAAAGGTGAATTACTAGAATGCATAATTTTGGTACGCTTTGAAATGTTTTTTTTTTGTCAAAGCAAACCAAACCAAGAAGAAAATCCAGCGGTTCACGCCCGTTTTGGGGGAAAGCAGTTGATGTGCAGGTCTGAAAACGCCCTGTGGTGTGTGATGTGCTCTCTCTCCGGAGCTCTGCTGTGTCTGTCAGTGACTGTAGCTTTACTTCCTTCCTGTAGACCTCCACGCCCTTCGTAAAACATTCCAATTCTACCTTAGGGAAGTGCGGCCCTACGGCAGACCTGATACCCACGGTACTCCATCTCTCTCACCTCATCCCGTCTCTCCCCGTCCGTGTCTGGAAAACACTCATTTCTCTCTTCCATTCTGGAGTTCATCACCACCGGCGTTCATTGAGTCAGCGCGCTGCTGTTTGTCTTTGTGTTTGTGTGTGTTAGTGATGGTTAGCTGCTTGCAGACCACTGTAATTGATTGGGCTCTAGTTGTCTTTCTTGAGTGTGTCAGGGATCCCGACTAAACAAATGACTAGCTGCTAGCTCCTAAATTGACAAAGCCAAATTACATTTTCTTTAGAGTACAAATGTGACGCTGCAGCACAAAAGCAGTGTTGAGTCGCTGGGGGATATTTGTAGCAATAGCCAACAATACATTGTATGGGTCACAATTATACATTTCTCTTTTATGCCAAAAATCATTAGGATATTAAGTAAAGATCATGTTCCATGAAGATATTTAGTAAATGTCCTACCGTAAATATATCAAAACTTAATGTTTGATTAGTAATATGCATTGCTAAGAACTTCATTTGGACAACTTTAAAGATGATTTTCTCAATATTTAGATTTTTTTGCACCCTCAGATTCCAGATTTTCTAATATTGTCCGATCCTAACAAACCATACAGCAATGGAAAGATTATTGCTCCAGGGTCACAAATGTCTAAATTGCTCGATTATACATTGCAAAGGCGTGTGCCAGTGTTTCCACTAAATCTCAGCTCTGGAAAGTGTTCCCAACAATGTATTGATTTAAATCAAGTGAAGTAATGCACTGTATTTCACGTTGGTTATCACTGTATTCATATTGGTTATTTAAACAGTTGACTTGCTTGTGAATTATAGACCGATTAGAAACTGTTCGACTGATTCATTTGTTGATGGTTCAGCACTGTGTTCATGCAGAGAGTGCAGCACGACAGAAAGATGCTGAACAGCGCTGTAGGAAACACTGATACGTGCTCTAGAGATGTCATTAACCAACTCCGATGAAACCCCTCTGTTACCAGATCTAACAAGACTTTAATTGATTGTTGCTAATGCGACTATCGTAGTCACAGTCGGGACTCCTGGTGTGTGTGTGTGTGTGTGTGTGTGTGTGTGTGTGTGTGTGTGTGAACACGT